AAATATTAAAAAAAAATCCAAACTCAAATTGTTTTTTATTATTTTTATACTATATTATATTATTATATTTTATTAAATAAATAAATAAAACTTTAGTGATTTTTTTTTGTTTGTTACAGTGTTAATAACTATTTTTGCCACCCTCTTAAACTCATTCTATTCTCTATATTTTAACATCATTTCCATAATTTTTTTACTAGAGTGTCTAGGGTGACTCTCCGTCTTATTTAAGTGATCAAATTATGAATCTACTGTTTTTTTTAGAGAGTTGCGGTGTGTTACTGCAAAATTCAAATACTTGTACCAGTTTGATCATAAGTCGTGGAAATGATTGAATTTGCTCTTGAAGAGCTGTGTAGCGGTTGGGCTCTTATTCGAAGAAAGAGTAAAGTTTGTTCCGGCTTTGAAGTAGGTGGTCGAGGTTCACTAACCTACTAAAAAACTATGGTGTTATATTTTTTAACTCTTTCCTGTTTTATCTCGAAATTGTTCTGGTGGTTTATTGCATGTTCTAAGTTTTTCATAATTGCTTAGGGGTATTTATTTAACTATTCTATTGTAATTATCATCTTCTACTCATTTTTTTTATGAGTTAGAGAATTTTTTTTTTATCGATTATATGTATAAAGGGTGGTGCGAGTGGTGAGTGGGAAGGGATAAGAGATGAAGATGAGAAATATAATTCATGTCTCGACCTCGTTTACCTATCAAGGATTTTTCATTTCTTCTTTTATTCTTTGTTTAAATGAGATTTCATCTCGACCCTTTTCAACTATTAGAGGTTTTTCACTCTCTTCTCACTTTCATTCTGCCCCGTTCTAACTATCAAGATGTGATTTTATCTCGACATAATTTATTTATTAGGTCTTTTCACATTCTCATTCCGCATTGTTCTCTATTTAAATGGAATTTTATCTCGACCCTCTTAGCTATTAAGGTCTTTTCACTCTCCCTCCATCTCTAGCTTAGTTTCACTCTCTCTCCCTATTTTCACACTTATTCTGCGGATTTGGAAGAGGTATCCACAAGTTAAATGCTAGTCTTTAATAAATACCACAACCATAGTCCAACTCTACATTTCTTTCATAAAAAAAAGTTACAATGGTCCACTTATCCTCACATTTTGGTTATCAGAATTTGAAAGGACAAAAAAAAAAAATTAAATTAATTAATGGCACTTTTCATTTCTTCCCGGAACTCTATTAATTCGAGCTTGAATATTATAGCAATTTGGATGATCTGCCAAAACCTTTAAAAGTGTGATCCCATTTCAAAACCTTTAGATTATGAAAATAAGAAGCCTTTCGGAACCCTTCACCAGCTAAATGCCCACTCCCCATTTCTTTCGCCGTGTGAAATCCGGACACTCTCGAATTCACCACCTCTCCACCAAACTATATCAAGGTGAGTGAACAAAATCGCTGGCCAGTACCCAGCCAACACACCCTACCCGAATTCCAACCACCAGTTCCCATGCTTCGGATCCTTTGAACAACTCCAATTCAATTTGGACTCACAATCTTCAAACAAAACATGAAATTGAAATGTGTTACGTTCCAAACCAGTAAACTAATGTTGAATTGGCCGCCATTGTAGGAGGAAGTTGGAGAAATTGCAACTCTAATGGCGATCTACGGTTGGTTTGAACAAAGCCTGAACAGAGTAAATTGTAGCATCCTGTTACTTGATATGCATCCGACTGTTCATTCAAAAAGTTGCCGTCATTTCATTTTCAATCTGATTTTGTTGCTAATTTTTGTGTTTTAATGTTCTACGGTCCAATAAATGAAGAGTCGTGGATTGTTGTCTCCATACAGCTCCGGGCTAACCTGTGGACAAAAGTTTGCCATAGAATTGAAATTTATTTGTATTTGAACATTAAATAAGTTGTCTGCCAGCCAGCTTCAATGGTGTTGAGATCATGTCGGAATGAACCGAAGATGAGTCATATCTGTGAGAGGCTGAACTCATACCGATTGCTGACCCGCGGCTTCCATACGTTCATACTTGTCTTGGCTCCATAGTACTGTTCCCCACTTACGAACCCCACGGCATGCTGCTACCAACAAAATTTACCTTCATTTCGATATGGGTTTTTTCAAAATCTTAAATTTACAATATATGGTAGCGGTGGGCTTGGCGAGCGAAGTGTTAGCAAGTAAGTTGAGCTTCGAAGGGGGTGAACAAGAGGCAGTTTGCCAGTAAGGACGCTGGACCACGAAGGGGGTGGATTGGAGAGTCCCACTTTGATTGGAGAAGGGAACGAGTGTCAACAAGGACATTGGGCTCAGAAGGAGGTAGATTGATGGGTCCCATTTCGATTAGAGAAGGGAACGAGTACCAACGAAGAGGTTGAACCCCGAGTGCTAGCGAAGAGGTTGAACCCCCAAGAAGGTGGATTGTGAGATCCCACCTGGGTTGGAAGGAAAACTAAACACCCTTTATAAATATGTGGAAACCTCTCACCAATAGACTTGCACCCGAAAGGGAAAAGTCCAAAAGAACAAGCCCCGAGGGGGTGCATTGTGAGATCCCTTGGTTGGGAGAAGAACGAAAGAAAAGATAAGTTCTATTTAGTTCATCACTCAAGTTAAAAGATTTGAAATTTTCTCTTTAATTTTATTCAAAACAGGTAGATTATATATGAACCATTAAAATTTAGAACTCAGCGATCGAGATGTAGACAGTTAGATTAAATTCAACCCACACTTGTTTTAAACAGGCGAAGTTTGCTATGCTAATAGATCTGAGATGGTCTAGGGTTAGGTGTTGATGAGATTTGTCGATTATGTTATGGACGAAGTTCTACTTTCTAATAAAACTTACATATTCTCGTAAAAGTTTCTAAATTTGTATTTAAAAATGGCTGATTCTCGTCATTGCATATACGACATGGACTATAATGTCTAAGATGAACGGTTCTCTTTTAGATTATTTTTTAAAAATATATTATTTATTTTAAGTCTATTTTATGGATTTCTTAAAAAATATCTATATGTTTATTTAATATTATAATTATGAATTTTTTTAAAGAAGTGTTAAAATTTGATTTTGATAGAATTGATGAAATTCGGTGGGCCTTTGTGATCCATACGGTCATCATGGGCTTGGACTACCAGCTTAGATTATAATTCGAGTGGGAATCTATTGGGCCGAAAGATCAATTCACAGGCCCAGTCTCTTTGGAGAAAGTGAATGATGGGCTTGGAATTGGGCCAGGCCCAATTACTACATTTCTCAAGTGGAATTGGACCTGATCGTCAAAGATGGGCTGATTTTGAAAACCAGCAAAATAAATAAATAAATAAATAAAATCTGAAAATATTAAACAAAAAAATATTCAAATTTTTCATAGATATTTTATTCCTTTATATTTAAGTTTTAATATTATTTAATTTTAGGCAAAGGCAAAATTGTCTCTTGACTCTCGTCAGTCATAATTGGGTAATTTAGGAACATAGTTTTGAGGGATTAAGACGACTCTCTTTAAGATGCTTTATCGAGGCTTTACGAAACAACTTCTCAAGTTATTACACCAAAGGCTTGAAGTGAACGAGAGTTCATGGTCGAATAAGATAGTTGTCGTTCTTTTGAATTTTTCATGTTCTAGTGGACCTTCTTAGCTACTTCTACTAACAAACTAGGGTCATGGTTAAGCAAGTAAGCGAAGGCTCTCTCTCGCCTGTGAGTCTTGTGTAAAAGCTTTACCTCGTTTAAGAAAAGAGCTACTGATCAAACCTACTGCTATAATTGCTTCAATGGGAGCGGCGGTCGGTATTGGAAACTATATCTACCTGCACTTCCACCTAAACTTTCCTAGTCCCAGGATTTGAGCTTGTCTTTCAGTATATAGCCCGAACATATTTGAATCAAAACAAAAACAGTAAACTTTAGGTCTTTGTCTTGAAAATCTTGAAAGGTACATCGTTTTCCTAGCTTGTTTAACCACACACGCCGCCTGCGTGTGCATGTTCAATCGTCTGCAACACATCCAACTTGCCTGTACACTAGGCCAAGTCATTCGATTCAACCTTATCTCTGCTTGGGGCCAAGGTCTCTTAATGCAACACCGCATCTCATCTTGTCATCTCGATCCTCATCGACATGGTCCATATGTCTTAACGCCATCCCGAGTCTCGAGATGTCGTCGGCCATCACCACTCGTTCGGTCATGCCATCGTGAACGGGCCCGTATGTCGCTCATCTCATCAAGACTTCCCAAACATCCATCCATCGAGGCATTGGCCCTCCTGTGCTCATGTCGTGTCATTTACAGATACCATGCCGGATAGCTGGTGTATGTAGCAACCTCCAACACGTGGGCTGAGGCGCAATACTAGCACACCTGTGCCGCCTGGTACTGTCCTTGAAAAACTCATTTCAAAGGAAGTCACCCGAGACACTCGTCTCGGCACGCTCGCCCACACTGTGACACACGTATGTGCCACAGGGTAGCTCATTTAGGCCACAGGGCTCAGGGGTGGTGGAGAACCCACAATCACACTTTGATGGCAGCGGACTTGCGATTGTGCGGCACTCACTTCCCAGCAACAAGTGAGTTAACGGCCAAGCGACGTATACTCGAGCTTCTAGCCCCGATTCAAGAAGAAATTTTTAGAAAACTGGGGCAGAGAGTCGAAAGAGAGTTTTGAAAGTAAAATTTGAGAAATTGAAATTGGCGTTATGTGAAAATGTAAGCAAAAGGCAGCAACAACAACTTACTGCATATAACTATCGGGTAGGAAGAAGTTGGTAGTATGGGTACGAACGGATGATGAGATGGAAAACCATTAGTGTTAAAAGAGAGAATCTTCACCAATATGTTAATATCATTTGCAACAGAACAAGTGGCTGCCCAAGGTTTTTTTTGAATTGGGTGACAACCTCTTGTGGCTGCCAACCTTTCCAACTTTTTATGGTTTCTTATAATAGGATTCTCTTTCTTAGTGCACCTTTAGGTACACCTCTCCAATTTTTATACAATTTAGGACCGAGATCGATTCGTTACAAATATGAACTAAATCTCCCACGATATACTATACTCAAGTATATCATCGATCAAAAGATCGAGGGTATAAATTCAAAGCCATTAAACGTATAATTACAAATCGGGTTCGAATCAGAAGCAAGTTTGTAGCACAAACGAAGAAAACTCGAGGATGAACGGTAAGATAGTGATCAACTTTGCTCTAACAATATGCTTCTTTTGTTGTAGCTCAGGCAGAGTGATTGAATCTCCACATTATAATGTGATTCATGTGGAGGCAGAATTTGAGATTAGACAGTATAAACAAGTCTCATGGGTATCAGCTCTTGTCCAAGGAACAGCCTCCTTTGAGAAGTCCACCCAGCAAGGCTTCCACAGGTATAAGTTGCTATTTTCCGTTTGGTTGCCAAGAAAATTCCACCAAGAAAATTCCACCAAGAAAATTCCACCAAGAAAATGTGGTGGGATTTTCCTTCTGATTTGAACTAATAATCTCTTGTATTGGTTGGCATCAGATTGTATCAATACATTCATGGTGCTAATAGCAACTCTTCTCACTTTCTTATCACTTCTCCTGTCACGACGACCATTATGGCATCGACGCGTGGCCCCGAGCGCTTGGTTAGGTATTATCTTCCTTCTATGTATACCGAAAACCCGCCGCTGCCCAATTCTGAACTCAATGTTCAGTTTGAGAAGTGGAGAAGCAATTGCTTAGCAGTCAGGAGGTTTTCTGGGTTTGCTAAAGATGATAACATCAACAAAGAAGTTGAAGCTCTAAAGAGCAGCTTGACCAAGTACCTACCTAAGAGTTCAGCCATCTCAGAATACACCGTTGCTCAGTATAATTCGTCACGTCACCTGTCGGGTCGTTTGAACGAAGTCTGGATCGACGTTTCAGCTGTTACATCAGAGGGCTGTCAACGCCGGTAACGAGTTACTGGAGTTGGCTTGAGGACTGTTGCAGGCTGTGTGAATGTTTATGGCACAATAAAATGTACAATAAAACTAAATAAGAAGCCATACTGTGATGTATGTAACACTGTTCTTGAGGTATTTCTGTTGTTTGTGTAATATCAATTGAATAATGGATTCCTTTCCGAATCCAAAGCATCCTTTGAGAAAGTTTTGGTCAAGTATCAGTTGAACAATGCACCATATGAAGCAGAATAAGCCAATTAATCTTTGTCTAATTCCTTTAAGTTTCTTTTGATCTTCACTTCATCACTTACTAAAAAGTAAGTTTGGCTTCATAAAGTTTCTTTTGATCTTCCCTTCATCACTTATTTTTACTAAGGTTGGCTTCATTCACTTCATCACTTACTAAAAAGTAAGTTTGGCTTCATAAAGTTTCTTTTGATCTTCCCTTCATCACTTATTTTTACTAAGGTTGGCTTCATAGTAGCAGGTAACAGATATTGTCCGCATTAGCCTGTTACATATCATCACAGTTTAAAATGTGTCTACTATGGAGAGGGTTCTAACCCTACTTCCACTAGTGTCTCGCACCATCCAGTGACTGACTCTGATACCATTTGTAATAGCCAAAGTCCACCACTTACCTATATTATCCTCTTTAGGTTCTCCTTCCAAATTTTTCCTCAAAGTTTTAAAACGTGACAGAGAGGCTTTCATATCCTTATAAGGAATACTTCATTCCCCTCCCTCAATCATGGTCGGATCTCACAATCCACTCGCTTGGGGCCCAATGTCCTCGCTGGGTTTTCACACCCCTTATCTACCCTCACACCTCCTGGTGTGGGGCCTCCATATCCTCATCTTTGATCCTACTTGAGCAACAGTAATGGTAAAATTATTATTGTGCCAATGGTCACGAAGAAGAAGACGAAGAATGCAACAGTTCAAAAATATCGAATAAATTGATGTTTGTTTGGGGCTACTGGCTTATTGTTCTTGAAAAATCCCCAGGATAATGCATCAAAGCCCTCATCATGAATTTCAGAACCCTTATTGCTGCAAATGGTAGATCTCTGGTTCCTGTGAATTATACTCTGATTATAAGAAAGATTTAAAAATTTTGTGGGACGAAAACTGAATCATAACACCTGAGAAGCTGAATCTTAACATCGGTGTGACGAAAACTAGCCAAAATTCATTCAATTACATTGTAATAAGATATCAATTTTACTCTTTATTTCTGTCAAAATTCACCAATAACTATGACTTTTCTTACTGCCTTTGTTTCATAACATGACTTCTTATTTCAGCCAGACATTTTCCTCACAGGAAAAGTCATATAAATAGAGAGAGATAGAGAAGATTACATCTGGGGTCTTGTTTGGACGACATATACTTTCCCATCTCTAATCACACCTTCAATGTCTTGAGGAGATCCGTAAAGCTCCTCAATTGCATTTCCTGCACGAGCAATGCTAGACAGAATCGACTGTCTAAAGTTGTCGTCCATAATGAGCGGATCCGTTGTGTAATCTAGCACAACCTTCTCTTCTTCGTCCATCGGTACGCTATGTCAAACAATCTCTCAATCAATCAATCAATAACTGAACATGGAATTACATGATGGAATGAAAGTAAAAGAAACTTATTTAGAGACTATTAACAGTCATAGAACCTAACACTTCAGAATCAGTAGGATGAGATTTGGAAACAAGGAAATTACTTATTTGACTAATCCTGGTAGAAAGAATATTGTAGGAAAAGATTTAAGATCAGCAGATTTGCATCATTGGAGGAGAGGAATGGGATTATATTTGAGAATACCTGTCGTAGAGACCGGCCCCAGCATATCCTTCCAGGTCTTCGCCATTGGAATCCGATCGAAAAATAATGGATCGTCTAATGAACAGGCCAATGGGCTTGCTTGGGTAACCCAGAACCTGAAACAAGTCAAATCCAAAATTGGTTTTGATGTAGTTTCATTTCTCACATCAAGTAAGTTGATAGCAGGGATGAAATAACAAATCTTACCTTGGGAGTATTTAAGTCATTTTTCTTGGATATAAAGCTCAAAGCACGTCCTGGATATGCTCCTACTAGAGTTTCTCCAAGTCCCTTCACAACCTATTGCAACAAGGAGACAAAAATTAATCTCTTAATCAATTAGATGGACACGTGGTAAGCGAACGAATAAATTAAAGAAAAAGAATACCTCTGCGTATATTTCAGACGAGTCTCCAGAAGATGGATTGGTTGTATGGATAACAAATGCATAGTCAGCATTAATGATTTCCTGAACAAGGACAGCCATGCAGAGATATTCGTGATCTAATTTCACTTTTCTCGTGCTGAAGTATGCTCTCTCGTTCCACTTTGAAGCCCAGACCTGCACATTACAGATAAGCAACAGTAAACAGGTTATCTAACTGCAAAACAATACATAAATCAGGTTAAACTGTTAAAGGTGGATTTTACATGTAGTAGAGTGAAGTATGATTGAACAAAACATGTGGCAATAATTTCGAGGGAATAGAAAAACAGCAGCAACAACAACAACTCGTTTTGAATATTCTTTTTATGAGTTTAAATTTTACACGAGGCTTCGAATCCATGACCAGTTATTTGCAGAGACCGGCATCATATTTGGCACAGAATGGAGTGCTCACCTTCTTTATAGCCATCCATGCTTGCGCCCATCGCTCCTCACCTTCATCACCAGGCCAGGGCATTCCCGAACTTTTCATCTTAGATTTTAACTCTAGCACCTGAAAATTGTATTCACATACGAATTATTATCTTCGAAATGGGCTGCACTACCAGGTTGGCCGTCCTTGCAGATTGCTGATGCCAACGAATATAAAATTCCATGAAATTTCTAAAAATCTAAATGAATTGAGAAAGTCACGACTGTATAATAAGTTCAAAATCACACATTTATCTATTTCTGGAGTAGGAAAACAGATTGAAGCAGAGATGAGACAAACACTATGCTTGTCTATGATATAAAATAGAATGTGGATACTTTGTGCTACATATACATGTATGCATAATATAATGTTACGCCAGTAGTAGGAAAATTATACCAATTGAGGGGGGGCTGCCAACTGTAGGACTGTCTCGCGAATCTCCTTTAGAGCACTGAACTCCCCTTCTCCTAACTTAATCTTCAAATCATGAATCTTTTCAGCCACCGCCTTTTACGTTATAAGAAATAGAAAAGAAATATTTCAGCTTAAGTAGTTATCTCTTTTATATGAACTATAGAGCTTCACAGCAGCACTGAAACAGTACAAGCCAAATTGAACATGTGATTGACAACTCAGGATGTATGAAGGTAAAAGTATTATTCAAGAATATTAAGTTTTTGAGATCCCATAAACTATTCATATGTAATTTTCATGACGGTCAATTGAAAGATCTTGCACACTGCATCAGATAGAGCTTCATGTCAAAATCATTATATGTAAGTTTCGTTCAGAAACTAGAAGAAAAACCTTATTTGATCCTTCAGACAAAACTTCTTCAAAAACTCCAAATGGAAGGGCAACTGAGGTGGGGATCCCAACCCACGATGGCACTTTTCCTTTCAGGTAAGAAATATTACGTGATTTTGCTCCCACCTAAAAAAAACGAAGCAAAAAATAATAAACTAGATACAATGTAACATAGGAGTTCTTATCCAAGCAATATAAATAGAGGGGGGAAATATATGAGCCTAACCATTTCACTCGTGAACTCTTCAGATACAATGGCATATTTGCCAACAAAGTGCTTTCTGACGAGAGTTACAGTTGACGGAACACCATCATTTTCGTGGATGGAACTTGCATCTGGTACCTCATTCTCATTTACCTCGCTTAAGTTAAGTGAAAAAAGAAGGTTATGATTCATTTTCATGCTTATCTCACAACACTTTAATTTGAACTGACTTTTTGACTGGGAAGGGAAAATGAAGAAGTAATTGAGTCTAGTAATTAAACGATAAAATCTCAAAATTCTCAACTGCTTTAAAATGGGAAGGTATAAATTTGTTTCGGGCCATCTAAGTCACAGATGTCTTTAAGCTTAAGTAAGAAAATGCATTAGTTTGTACCTATATACAATATCAGCAGATGTCGGCTTTATACGCAATAACTTCCCTTCTTTAACTTGAAGGTCGGAAAGAATACTTGAATCAAAGCATGTTGCAAAGCAAACCTACCAGAGATGAGCAAAATTAACATTATATGATAAAAGAAATATTGCAATGTACTTTTCATGTAACAAACAACTACCTTCCCGTTTCTTGCTCTAACAGAAACATGAGATAGAACATCTGGCATGTCAGGCGTCAACACAGCAACGGTACCATCTGGAATTTCTTCCTCACCTTTTACTCGGTTAGCGACTAGAATTGTTGGCTTCTCATATGATTTATTCTGAACGGTAAGCAACTCATCCACAACAACTACATAACCAACAGCTTCAACCGGGCTAATAATCTGCCAGCTGTTACATGGGCCAGCCAAGATTATATTAGAAGGTTGTCATAAGATGCAAGTGGCACGACTACATGCTGCAGTATAATATTTGATCTAATTTCCACTTCATTAACCGTATTTAACAACTTTTGGTCAACTACATTAACCCTTTTTCTCTAGAAAGTTCAAATAGGAAATAGTGGAAAACTCAAACCTCCCCAGGTTAGCAGTTGTCCGCAAAACAGGATCAAGTCTATTTAGAAGTGCGGATAAAGAGGAAGCTGATCCAGAACGGATGATTTCTTCGGTAAATATGTCAACCTGCAAAATCAAACCATGAGGAAGAATTCCAAAATCCTGGCAATTTAAAACGGCACATTGTAATTGTGACAAAGTAAGGACATACAGCCCATTCCTCTACTCCAAGCAGTGATCCCAAGTACTCAGCAGATGGCTGCAGGATGCGATGGTATGCTTCTGCCTTGTTTGCAAGTGCAAGGCGGGTTCTATCAAGAACAGACTTTGCATATAATGCCCAATGTTCCTTTTTACTTCTTGTGAGGTTCAATGAAAGATCCCATCCCTTTGAAAAATAAAAAAATAAAAAAATAAAAACAAACAAACATTACAACAGGTTTTCAATATCTTGTGCATGCAAACTGATGTTCTCATTCTCAG